CATTAGACAACATGAAACAAACTATATATGACACTATATGAGCTCCAAAAAGTTGAGGTACAGCACACACATAACAAATGCTGGTCACTGAGCTCAAACTATTGCCAACCCATATGTCAGATTTCAGAGGAGTAGATACCTGAATCACTTAACTGATGTTTAACCAATGCATTTGTTTCCTTTACTTGCATGCATATATTTTCAGAGAATAGTAAATGGCAGCCATTCATGTTTCTCTGGATGTAATATTTATGAATACTAAATTACACAACAAAAATGTCTGCCACAAGAATAAAAGTGATTTGGAACTGGAACAGCTAAGTTAAATAGCAAACTCATGTCGGCTAAGAGTTCTACAAAGACCAACACATTTTGAATGCATATAGTTACTGAACATGTAAAAATAAATGAAAGGTTTCATTCAAAGTTGCAAGTCAGGGAAATAAATAGCAAATGCCAATCCATAGATAGTATATGGAATCCTAGAATATATACATAGGGTTCTTTATATAACACATTTAGTTAGCTTTGTGATAAAGTCTTATGTTCATAATGTCTATCATAAAATCCTCTCCAATATCTTTCTCAGCCTCTTCAGCAAACAGGACATTACCCTGAAAAGTGCTAAGACTGTTTCTTCCCACATTTCAATATCTTGATACGCTAATTATGTAAACATTAATAATTTAATGCTATATAATTCCTTTCAAGTGGTATTAATTAACATTATCCTATTGAACATCACTGTCACGTAGATATCACTTTCGCTTCATATTTGAGAGGTATAATGTTAAATACTGACAAGGAGACAGGCTGTCCTGATAAAGTTTTTTTGGTTTTCCTCAGTCTGTCTACATAAAAGTTGAGGTACTCATCATAAACATTTGTTGTTTGTGATGGACTTGCAACAATGAATGCATTCTATCAAATGTGTTTTGTATCAATTCACTCTTTGCTTCATAATGTGTACATGCTTGAAATAAATTGTATAATGCTATAGATATTCATATGCATATAACTGTTTACACACACAGAAAACTTATTTAATCATGTTGGATCCTCTCAGGTATAATCCTTAAATGATTTTACTGTGTAATATTTTAATGTATTTTGCTTATTCACTTCAATTTTATTTCTGCAATTGTGTGTTACCAGGTGGTTGATAAACATGTAATGGCTTCTTGAGTTATAACATATAGCTAATATTTATTTTTGTAGATGGTAATACATACCTCATCACACTGATCTGTTTAGCTTATAGAAGAACACAGAGTATATGACAGTTGAAGAGAGTATTTTCAGAAATATTTTTTGTTACCCATTTAAAAGTATTTGAAGGAACATTCTTTTTCAACATGTGGTAGGAATTCTTTGCAGAAGGTTGACCCATCACAAGGCCTCTATCTACACAGAACAACACAATACCGAAATATGAGGACAAATATCATAGTCTTGAAAGAGATTTAATCCCATGATCCCAGCAACCAAGCAGCCACTGTGACTGGCAGTATGGCACTTTACAGTTGCTAAATGCATACAAAATGACTTTAATTTATTATAAAAATTAAGGGTAAAACTATTAATTTTAAATGCATGTATATCAGAAGAAACAATTATGAATTTGTTTGCATGTGTTTACTGCATGGACATGTAAAACTCTCATTATTACATTCCCTCATTTGAGCTACTTCCTGGTTCATAGGAATCAGCACCCAAAAGCATAAAACATCAAACTGTCAGTTACCAGTAGGTTTTATTTCTGTGCAATTTTACTTAAATTAAAAGTTGTCTGAATCACTGAGTACTTTAATTAGTGTTAACAATACACACAGTAGTTTAACAGCAGTGGTAGTAATAGTAATAACAGTGTACCACTCTTGACTAACTGTAAAAATATGCATTAATTTATCATGGCAATAATGTACATCCTATAGTTGAGTCAAAATCAAAATTTTGAATAAGGAAATGCTCTATGAAACTGATAACCATGTATATACAATCAAATCATAAGAAGTTTCTTATGGGAATTCTGTAAACAGAAACATATTTGGCCCAAATTTATATATTTTAAAATAATGTACTAACCTGGCTGAGAAACACAGCTGAAGCTTGTTTCACTTCCTGTTTCTAAGAACAATGGTAATGGCATGCATTATTACCATGGTTACCTACAGAAAATGTTATTACATTATTCAATACCATTAGAAAGCAAAAGTGCACGCTATAATATGAAGTTGGTGACAACTAATTTAATATATGTTACAGTAACATATCACTGACTGGTATGCTTGGTTCTGACTTTTTCCTGTCCAAAGTGGCAAAATTTTCCTGTATAACATTTCTGTAAGCATCCTGGCAAACAGGTTTGTTCGACCCATATTACTGAAACTCGTCATCTGAGCTGAGCAGCATTGTTTTCTCATTGTAATTCTGGCTGATGGTAGAGACCCGCTGGTTAGGCAGGGAACTATGTCGTCGTGATGTCCCATGTCCACCTCCTTGACTACCGACACCACCACCACCTCCTCCTCCTCCTTGTGTTGGGTCATCAGGATCATAACTGCTTATTCTCATTCCTCGATGAGAATGTGACCCACCTAATCAACATGATGATAATGCTGACATAAGTCACCTGTGTATCATGAGTTATATGAAACAGGTGATTAAAAAGGAAACACATTTATTCATTCAGTGTCTATCTTATCTTTTTCCTGCTATATGGAAAGCTGTGAGCTTTGGAAATCACAGTTCTAAGGAGAGTCTTGTGTTTTCACACAGATATCAACTCTGACCAGAAACAAACATACATAAATATCTAATTATTTGCATTTTATTCCAATTTTATTGTTGACATTCTATTTATTATCCAGGCTGTGGATTTGGTGTCATTTCCTGTTTCGGTCAAGGATGATAACGTCATAACATATTTCCTGTACAATAACTGAACTACGAAATGACTGAATATGAACTACATTTTCAACATGATACATTTATATTTAGCTGGAGAAGTCTTCTTCCAGTGTTTAAACTACTTATGTGTATTCTGGTAACCAGACTTCTTATTTCCTTTATTATTATTAAATGAAGTTATTCTTTTTACCATAAATAAATACTAAATATTAATTACTTGCGATAAGTCATCTGACGATTCTATTGGTATGCTTCAAGTAGGAAAATGACAAACTTAAAGATGTAAGAACTTCATTATCATGACAACCATCAAATACAAAATGTAAGACGTTTACATATCAATGTGAATATACATGGTGATCTTCTAGGTCACTGCACTGTGCAGTATTTTGCCTGTGTGCCAATGTTTCAGAGGAACATAACGCCCCTATCATCCCTTATGATAGGGGCAGTATGTTCCTTTAAAACACTGGAATACAGCAAAGATATTACATGGTGAATCAACCAACAAAATCATTCTCTATGTTGAATACTTTATAATAAGCTTTTACATAACCCAACATGATACAAGCTAGTCTCAGTGCTAAGGAGATACGCACAAAATAATGAAGAGAAATATACAACAGGTGTTAAGCAGGAAAAATTTACCGAAACACAAAAAGGGAGAAAATACAGAACGATGTAATGTGAGAATAAATGAAATATGAAGTATCAGACACAAAAGGCAAACAAGACACTGCATGAGCAATAAATGAAGAGGATGCAAGGCAATCAATATGTTAACACACTTTTGATTGTCAATGAAGATACGTATCTTCAACATGATGAAGACTAATTATGGATAGATGGGAAGGACAAGGCATGTATCACACATGGTAGAAGTGCAGATAAAATTTTGGTTGCTAAACCTAAGAGACCACTTCTGAATCCATCTACATCATATATTATTACTAAAGAGTGCTGGAAGTAAGATAACTAAATAGTGAAGTACGCTCTCTCCTGATGCAACCAATCATGTAAGGTTTATTGCAGAAAATTTGGGGAAGAGGAGGAGACATTTATATCAAAACTGTTACTTCAGTACTGTCTATGAATTTGTAGAGCCGACAGTGCTTTGAAGTAAATGCAAAAGAAAGAGAGTTAGAAATGACAGGACATCACTCAAGAGTGGTAGCTTGAGTCACAAGTGATTTTGACATTCTTACAATTATGACAGCAGCACATTTGATTCACATCATGAAGTTTGAAATACATATAACCAAAACTCAGGGAAGTGCACACAAGCTGTGAAAATTGCCAACTTTGTAACACAAGTTCTATAAATTGACACGTTCTTGTGCTCTATGAAGAAATGGGTTTAGCTCACTCTTTTCTGTTGCACAATGAAGTCTGCTGGCTGTCTCAAGGTTAAGTCCTGTTATAATTCTTAGAGCTGAAAACAGAGGCAGAAACAGTTTTCAGACAGAAGTAAAATTTAGGGTTAGTCCTTGATGATGTGTGAGGATTAGAAAAATAAACTTCTCTCTCCAAGGGTGGCTAAGCAACATATGAAACACAAAAGAGAAGGCTTGAGCAAAGGGGCAGTTTTGTGGTTCCAGAGTGACATGGATCCTCTGGTAATGACAAATAATAAATAATAAACTCACTATATTTGATGAAAATAAGACCAATGCTACCACCTAAAACTTTTTAACTAAATTACATTTTAAGGCATTCAAGCAACAGCCACAAAATGGTTCAGATCCTAACAGAAAGAAAACAAAATATTAAGATAAGATCTCCTAATGATATTCCAAATTCTTTCTCAAACTGGGGAACAATAGAACATGAGTTCCCCAAGGGTCAATTCTAGGGCCTTTGCTTTTCATAATATACATAAATGACCTTCCAACAATAAATAATACTGGTTATAATGGAAAGTATATAGAACACATGGTCTGATTTAAGGGATGAAATTATCAATATTTTTTTATATATTAATTCTTTCACTTTATTCCTTCATTTTAGTCTTGATTATGTCTTGAGAATGTTTCATTTTCTTCACTTCCCTTCATAAATATTTTTGTAATGGCAGTCAATCAATATTGAACTGGGAAGTTAGTATGTCCCACAATCATTATACTGACTGGTGAAATGATCAAGTCATGATTTATCAAGTCATCACTTCATCTAAAAATCACATAAACTACAGCCGGGTGAAATTAATATTTATTATAGAAATCTGTAAATGTAAATATATGCCAAGATAAATTAATTTAAACGACAGGAGGTTTCAGTTCACAGCAGAATTTTAAAAAGACCTGCAGGAAAAATAAAGAATCTTGCCAATGCTTCAGTGTTTCACTCCGTAGGTATTTTGGAGCTCTCACTCAATCTATGGTAATATCTTGAAAAGGGGAGGGAAGAAAAAAATTGGGTACTGCCTTCATCATCTGTGTAAATTAACTTTCCTTTCTGTTCCACTTGATTTGAATATTATTGTTCCCTTACCAGAAGTTAACATGTAATTAAAACAATGAAGCATATACACTGCTCAACTTTAAATTAAATTAAATCCGTGGCATGACAGCTCCAGAGAGCCAAAGCCGACTAGCTTGACTGCTGGCCTCACGTTCACATGCCTAAGCAGAGGTGAACGATCATCCAACCAGATACAGGATGACGTGTGGTCAGCACGACGATCCCCCAGCCATTGCTAGCTTTCCTGACCGGATTACGCTACTCATTGTAGCTCCCCAATTTCCTCACGATGCTGGGTTGGCACCGGTCCCATACACTGGCCGAAAGCTCATGAGAAAATTTCTTCTCCCCCGAGACTCAAACCAGCGCGCATCCGTATCGCCGGTCCGAAGCACAATGCCTCAGACCACGCAGCTACGGCGCGAGACACTGCTCAACTTTTCCTACAAAAAAGTGTCTTTAACAAAAGAAGCATCTCAAAAACACTACTAAAAGAAATTATAAATGGCAAAATACACTATTTAGTGCAAAATAAACACAAAAATACCAAGTTTGAATAATAACATGCATCTCATTCCATGTGTAGAATAGTGCAAGCAGAAAGCAAAATATTATATACACATAACAAGCAAAAGTACAAAATTACTACATTGTCCATTTTATTCCATTCACACACATTATTATTGGAATCAAATAAATGATTAAAACGATTAACTACTACTTCAGTGAAACATAAAAGTTAATTATTTCCAGCATCATTTAAGAAATTGAGAACAGTCCTCACAAGTAAAAAGAAATATATGATAAATACATAATAGGTATAAAAATTATATAATTATTTATTTTATTAATCAGGACATTGTGAACTCAGTGACGAATGTAAAACGATGTCCACTTTAAGAATATATTCTGCATCAAAAATTATTTAAAATTTGTTGCACATTTAAGTAAAATGGATAAATTAATAATGTTCTGTGCACATGCTTTCACAACACTGGCATCATGCAAGGCTCGTGCTTTCTTCTGCAGATGCTAAAACCATCTCAGTATCACTGTCAACATGGTCTGACACTTTTATCTTCCCAGAATCAGCAGACAAAAAGAGGCTCAAAGCTTCTCATAAGGCAGATGTGTACTGACCTCTGAAAAAATGCAAGTTCATACAACTTAGCTTCTAAAGGCTCAAAACAATAGATAAGCATCATATGAGCACACCAATAATAAGGCATATATTAGCAAAGCTAAAAATGCATGTTATTGTTATACCCTCACAAGCATACAATTATTTAATTCGTTCATAGTTTGGCTCTTGCTAACTTGTCCTTCTTAAGAAGATGATTGCTGACTGTCTTTATTGAATGTGAAAGTTCATTACTGTTTCCGCAACAGCTCACACTTCCCTCTAGCTTCAGCCAGATAAAATTAGTCCACAATCTCACACCCTATTTTCTTAAGACACATCTCTGTATTATGTAAGATTTGAGGTTTTCAGGGCCCTGATCACATTCAACCGAACTCCCATGTCCCACCAGACGCACTTCCCGAGGCTCCCCCCCCTCTCCCTCTCTCACACTCGCCCACACACTCCTATTGGTCCACTCCCACTGGCTCGGGGCAGGCTACTCCACTCACATTCCGGCACCTATAAACCTAGCCCCATACCCCCTACTGGCATATTCATCACCCTGATGACGGCGGCAGTATGACCTCTGAAACGTTGGTTAACACTGACCAGACTACACAGCGCAACAACCCAAAAAATAGAAATCTTCATCTTTGTATTACCCTTCCACCTGTGCCTTTGCTTTCATTAATACATTCAGTTCTCTTATTGTGATAGACCAGTTCTCACAATTTGTAATACAAAAAATAAAAAAGAATGCTATCAGTTGTGGTCTTCTGGGTTGTAACCCTGTAGGTGTTTATCAATGTTTTCGAGGAACATATCACCTTCATCTTCAAGACTGAAGCAGTGTTCCTCTGAAACACTGGTGACCACCCGCATGATAATGAAAATTTCCATTTTAATTAACTAGATGGACGATGAGCAGGGATAGCTCAGTCAGTATAGTGACTAGCTACTGGCTCGATGACTGGGGTTTGGTCCTGACAGGGACAGAGGAACCCGCAAACCTTGGGTCCAGTGGCAAGCACGCTGACCACTAGTCCACCGAGGGCGACATCATTTTATATTAACGCTGGTAAATACACATCATACAATAACTTTTTAACAGTGTCATCATTTGAAAGCCATGATGCAAATGGAGTGAACAAAAAACACATAAAGCAAAAATTAACTTCAAACAATTCCATGTGGCATATCTTCCTCCATGAAAACTAAACAATTTGCATGCTGATAACACGACTTACCAGAACTATATTGGGTGTACTGTTGGTACTGTGGGTGGAAGTTGTGAATGGCATCAGTCATTATGTCTTTAGGGTTCATTGTTTCCTGTAAGAAATAAAACTGCTTTATGAATCAGCATGTAGACACAACTAAAATGTGAATCAACAATAAATTCATGACTGTTGTCTGGGTTCTCCATAATCCTGAGAATTAATTGCAACAGTTGATCTGAAATGGAAATTAGGGTTAGAGAATGCTTCATACCTGACAGTACAAACGCAATTAATTAATTTTACACAAGAATGTATTCCTTGCAAGTAGGCTATGAAGCAAATATTTGCCAAATAAAAATAGATTTGTCACTAATTTGCATGCAGTACATAAAATACCAGGTGATTCAAAAAGGACTATACAAGTTTGAAAGTGTATAGAAATTTAATCAGAAAGCTTACAGAATCAGTTGAGGTGTCATTTTGTAGCAAAACAAATCAAGTTTGACTCACGTTGTGCTGTAGTACCGAATTTCGTCACTGTAAGTGTCAGTGCATTTGAAAATGGCTACTTTCACAGGTGCGGAGCGCACTCGCTGTGTGAGAGAACCATCAACGGTATCGTGTATCTGGATATGCTCGAAAATTTTCTCATACCACAGTTAGACGAAGATGACCAAAAAGGACGCATTCACTTCCAGCAAGACGGC